CCTGAAGAGCAATGGATTGGTACTATTCCTGATTATACACACTTGAGAGTTTTTGAGTGTGCTGCCTATTCTCACCAGAATTTAGGAAAATTAGAACCTAAGGCCCAGAAATGTGTTTTCTTGGGTTATCCTGATGGGGTTAAAGGTTATAGGCTTTGGAGTTGAGAGTCTAGTGGTTTTAAGATCCTCACAAGTAGGGATGTTACTTTTGATGAGTTTAACATGTCTTGTTTGAAAGATAATGAACCTAATAGACTACATAAAGAAAAAGAAGGAAATAAAACCAAGCAGCAGGAGGAGCTTGGTATGCCATCTGAATATGTTGATTCTGAACAGGTTGATGTTAACTTGAAAATACTGATTTTATAGATGTTGGAGAAGAGGGTGAGGTTCAAGAAAATTTAGAAAAACAAGTGAGTGGTGTAAATGATTATTAATTGACGAGAGATAGAGTTAGGAGATATATAAGAGAGCTTGTTAGGTATAGAGATTACCTATAATTTGCTTTGCTTTCTTATCAAGACCTAGTCTTTAGAGAGCCAAAATCTTATGAAAAGGCTATTTCCCGCTAGCAATCTAAGGACTGACAGACTGCTATGAATGATGAAATAGACTCCTTGATTAAAAATGGAACCTGGACACTAGTTCATAAACCTGCAAGTAAATTCCTTGTTGATTGCAAGTGAATTTTTAGTATTAAGGAGGGTAATACTGAGAAGATGCCTATAAAAATTTAAGGCTAGACTAGTTGCTAAATGTTTTACACAAAAGAAAGGCATAGATTATAATGAAATCTTCTCCAGTGTGATTAAGTATACTACTATGAGAGTTATGTTAGCTCTTGTTGCACATTATAATCTTGAACTTGAACAAATGGATGTAAAAACTGTATTTTTATATGGTGATGTTGATGAAGTGATTTATATGAAACAACCACCTAATTTTATTGATAAATCTAAAACCGAACATATTTGTTTTTCGAAAAGATCTTTGTATAGTTTGAAACAATCTCCAAGACAATGGTACAAAAGATTTGATACTTTTGTTTCTTTTGTTGGTTTTGTAAGAAGTGAGTTTGATCATTGTTTGTATTTTAAAAGAGATGATGGAAATGTTATTGCTACTTTTATACTCTTATATGTGGATGATATACTTCTAATTGAACATAACATATATGTAATAAATGAGATTAAAAGATATTTGAGTGCTGAATTTGAAATGAAAGACATTGGACATGGTAAGAAAATTTTAGGCATGGAAATAATTAAGAAAATGCATACCAGATTATTGACTTTGAAGCAAACTGCCTATGTTGAAAAATTGATAACTAGATTTGCTATGCATAATTCAAAATATGTTTTTGTAACTCTAGCCAGTCATTTTAAATTGAGTAATGATCAGTCTCATGTAAATGAATCTAACATTAAACAAATGGAAACGATACCTTACGCTAATGTTGTAGGATCTTTGATGTATACCAAGGTTTGTACTAGGTCTGATGTGACTCATTCTATTAGTACCCTTAGCAGATTCATGGCTAATCATAGTTTAGAACATTGGGTAGCTTTAAAATGGCTGTTGAGATATTTGAAAGGTTCTTCACACTTAGAACTTTGCTTTAGTGCGTGTAATGATGATGTAGTGCTTAAAGGATTTGTAGATTCTGATTTTGCTGGAAATATTGACAATAAGAAGTCTACTACTGCTTGTATGTTTACTTTGTGTGGAACTTGTATCAGTTGGAAATCCCAACTACAACATGTTGTAGCTTTATCTATAACTGAGGCTGAATATGTTGTTGCAACTGAGGCAATAAAAGAAGCTTTGTGGGTTAAGGGTTTATTGTCTGAAATTAATGAGTTGTCTAATCCTGCTACTTTATATTCTGGCAGTCAAAGTGCTATATATTTGTGTAAAAACCTAGTTTATCATGAATGAACTAAACATATTGATGTTAAGTTGCATTTTATAAGAGACATTATTTCTAAAGACGTTTTACTTCTTGAAAAAATTGCTACCCAATTTAATCATGTTGATATGGCTACAAAGGTATTGTCTCTAACCAAGTTTAAGTCTTGTTTGCAAATGTTGAACATTGATACTGGGTAATCTAATTGATCCTAACTTTGGTGCTATGTGGAGTGATCAATGGAAGCTGTGGCCAAGAAGTAGTCACTTGTAGAGTGCATGAGTTGCCTGATAAACCATTGACATCAAGGTGAAGATTGTAAAGGTTGTGATGCTAGCCCAGCCTAATAGGCGATGATGAAATGGCTTTCAGCCCAATTGCTATTACCCAGTACATTCAGCTGAAATGAAGACCCAAATCACCCAGCCCAATACCCGGTCCGGTAAAAAGCGTGTTTGCCTACTGCAACTTTGGTTGTATTCTTTTCCCAAAAGAGTGAGTTTCTCTAGACCGTTGGATTGACTATTGTCCAATCTCGATGCGTTGATATTTTTGGTATTCAAATGGTTTTCATTCTTGTCGAGGGTTCTCTGGAGACTTTTGTGTTCTCTTTTTTCGTCTTCTTTTTCTTCTATAAGGAACTCTTGTATCGTTTCTTGAGTGTTTTCTATGTGAAATCTGGTGAAAAGAAACGCTGTTGTTGTTGGTAACGTTGAGCTCTTCTAGTCCATAGAAGAAGTTGCACGTTTACTGTGAATTGTGATGGTTTTGGGTGAATATTTGGCTTTCATAGTGTTGATACAAACAGGTACAATATTTTGAGCCTTCGATTTGGAAAACCTTGGTAATCAGTGATTTGTAGATAAACTTTGTAATATTGTTTTGAGTTTCAATCGATCTTTAATATTTAGTTTGAGTCTTGTATAACAGCACTATTAAGATTTGACATATTTTTATTACAATAATGTTTCACGTAAATTATATCGTTAGACATATCATAAAATCTTTCTAATTTTACAAGCATCATTGACGCAATGGTGGATGCGGTCCCAATTTTTAAAGTTAAGTGACTAATGAGAGCAGTTTTTAAGTTCGAACTTGAAGAAAAATAAAATAAATAAATAACAAGAAATCTCCAGAGCAAAAATCTCGAGCAAATTAGAAAAATCAAGGACAGGAAAATAGTAGTGGAAATATCGACTTCGTGGGCAGCGAATGATACAACCACTCCTTCACTCTCCCTCCCCCTTCTTTACTCTCTTAACGGAATTTCAAAATCCAGAATCTTGAAAATGCCTCTGTACAGTCCTCCAATTTCTACAACTGAAACCTTATTTCTTAAAACCCACAAAATCAAATCCTTATACGCACAACCACAACCACGATCACCGATCATCACTATGAAAGCAACTGAGGGTGTAACAAGAAGAAAAGCGCCGCCTCGACCTCCGATGTCAGCCGTGGAAGCCCGAGTTTCCCTTGTCCTCGCTCTCGCTTCCCAAACTTTGTTTCTTTCTCAGCGCCGTAAGCAAATATAGCATTTCTTTTTTACTATTTTAACTCCCCAACATGAATTATTGCACTAGAAGGGTCTGATTGTTCTTTTTAATTTTTTCCCTAATTTTTCGGGTTATTATTGTTAGTTTTGACTGGTTTGGCAAGTGAGAGCGTGAAATATATAGTTCCGAATAGCAAATTTGAGAGCCGGAACTTTGAAGAAGCCTTGATGTCCGGTATTTATGATATTATTACTGCTTGACAATTGTTAGTTTCATTGTTAATGGAGATCTTTATTTGTCATCTAATTATTTTGTTTTCTGGTTTTGGTTATTTGTTGAAGTTCCTGATCTCGAGACAGTGAAATTTAAAATTCTGGGTCGTAACGATCAGTATGAGATAAGAGAAGTGGAGGTATTCTTTTATCATTCTGTCCAGTTACCATCTATCTGTTGTTTTGTGAAAGTTTTTAGATCCAGTTTCGTTGCGTTTTTACATCCATAACTCAATGTTTCTTGAAAGTTATGCACAGGCAACTAGTATTTAGTGTAAAAGTAACTGAATGTAGAGAAGTATACCAGTAATTTTGCCCCATTTAGCAATGCCATTTTTGGTCCCAATTTGTTTGCAAGTGTTCATTTGGTGGCAAGTAGCCTTGTAGAGAAATTAGATGTATTGTCGAATATGTGACAGTTTTATATTAATAATGGGGTTGTAGACAAAGATCAACTCTAAAAGTTGAATGTTGCCATAATATTTACAGTGATAAGTCCTAAAATACATACTAAAGTATCTGAGAAGTGACACTATCTGGAAGTACCAATTTATTACGACAATCAGATGTATTCTAAAAGCGGGACTTACTCTTTTTTGGTAGAGACCAAAAGTGGAATTTTGGATACTGAGTATAACTGCAACTCTCACCATATAACTGGTTTCAAACTAGTGCAACTCTGGAACCATGACTCTGATCATGGGTGGAGCCAGAAATATAATTCAGTGGGGGCATGACTTAGTTAAAAACAATAATTTTAGAACAAAACAATAACACAATAGTATTTATGTAGTTTATCTAGAATCTAATGATGTAAATGATAACATATGAAATACACGAAGAAATGGTTTAACTAAAAGGTTTAAGACATATCTCGGAGACGCTACTCAACTATAATGAACAAGATTTTAATTTATTTTTCTTAATTAATATTGTCCCTATACTAGTTCTTCCATCAAATAGATCATGTTAACTTAGATTGAGTAGATCTTGAAGATGACATGAGCCTAAAATACAATTTCTTTTTACTTGTTGATAAAGTTTGATAAAATATTGTGGAAATCAGGAGTATTTGCTCAGCAGACCAAATGACATTGATCAACAGTTTGTAATCACCAATTAAATTCTCTAAATAGGTCGAGCAAAGTTTTTCTACATGTTAAAATATCAAAATTATGAAATAAAAAACAACAAAAAAAGTTTCTTAACTTGAAAAAAAAAAACTCCAAAGTTCAGTGGAGGGCAATTTCCACTGGACTCCAGGTGGCCCTGCTACTATTTTTGATGGAAATTGTAACCTTGAGTATATTATCTAAATGATCTGACAGTATAGAAGTGTAAATGAATAGGCGTGATGATATTTTATTTTCTGTTAGAAGTTATGTTACAAGTAAAGCCTGAATGAAGAACGAGAACAAAATTATGGATCCTGGCAATCAACAAGCTTTTAGTCCTTTTTAGTCACCAAGCACAATGCCATACAATTAAATGAGTCCCTGTTGCTTCAGTAAACCTAACGAGACATCCTCAATGAAATCATATAAATAGTTATGCACATAGTAATCGTTCCATTTCTGCGTCTCTGTGCATGTTCTCCTCCATGTAATAAACACAGCCTTATGTTATTGCTGAGACGACGATGCCTGGGAAGTATGGATTTGATTTTACAGGGGCATCTCAATCCTTCAACGTGCTGGCTGAGTACTTGTTTGGTAAGGTAATTAAGTACTTTTAGAGATTGAAAAGAATGTTTTGCTTCAAAATTAGTTTCTTATTGTTATTTTTAATTTTGTTTTGTTTTTGTTGTTCTCATTTTTATTATTCCGTGGTTTAATCCTCACGAGATCATGATTACTCCAGAATACAAGAAAGGAGCAAATGGAGATGACTACGCCTGTTTTTACTCGTAAAGTACAATCGGTTGGGGAGAAAATGGAAATGACAACCCCTGTGATAACTAAAAGGGTAAAGCTCTCACATGGTTTTTGTTCTTTCGTTATCGATATACTCTTTTTCTCTTTATTTAGTACTTGAAGCATGTTAACGTTGAAATCCATAAATGTGAGGTCTCTTAAAAGTCGGCTGAATAACTGGCCACAAGGATTCATCATAACAGAGATATCTATTTCGCTTGCTTCTACACACTTCTAAGTACTTTTTTATTCATTGTGGGGTCTCGTGTGAGTTACATCGACACATTACTTTGAGTTCCGAAGACGTACTGTATAGTTACTTGAGGATTCCCAAGCTCTTCAGCAAATTGAAGGGGGCTATTTCACCATTTGCCAGTTTTATGTAGGATTCTCTAATATTATTGACTTATCATTTAGAAGGAAGCAGGGTAAACGGATGAGCAAATTAGATAGTCAATTTCCGAACATGTTAAGGTTCTTTAAGATGAAAATATTGGAAACAAGTTGATATTGTTCTCTCTTAACTAAATCTAAAAACTGTTTTGCATGTCATTTCAGTATCCATACGTTTATATTCAACCACCATGCATTTATGATTTATTTTCTATTTTCAAATTTCATGTATGTCAAATGCATGTAATACAGCCAGTATCTCAAGCTTTTCACGAATTTCTGCACACCTAAATCCCGATCTGATCAGATTGAGGTTTCATATAGGTGGAAGATCAAGATAAATGGAAGATGTCCTTTGTCATGCCGTCAAAGTATGGTTCCAACTTGCCATTGCCCAAGGATTCTTCTGTGACTATCAAAGAGGTGCCAAGGAAAATCATCGCAGTTGTTGCATTTTCAGGTCTGTTTTCTTTTAGAAGGTCTTGTGATCAAGAAGGATTTTGATTTAGGTAAAAAAAAAAATAAAGAGAGAAAGGATGGGTTACTGTAGCAGCACGAAAATGTTCATGCTATGTTACTGTGCTCAAATGAGATTTTATTTTGTTTACTATTTCGCAAGTTATCTTGGGGATTTTGTCTGTCTTACTAGTTTACGTAGGTCCTTTTTTGTTTTGTTTTCTATTTTAATGAAGTTGATTGGTTGACGAGTTTAGGGTTTGTAATATCTCAGAAATTACAATACTAAGCCCTACATTATGGAAGGAAAATTAGTTGGCACAGATGATAGGACATGAATTTAAATCAACGCAGCCAGTTATGAGGACCTACCAGTACCAGCACAAATGAAGCCACATAGAAACTCACTTCAAATGCATTGAGCCAGAATTTTTAATCAGTTTTTCTTCTGAATTTGTCAGGCTTTATCACTGATGAAGAAGTTGAACGCCGGGAATCAAGACTAAGGGACTTACTGAATAATGACACAGAATTTCGTGTGAAAAAGGGTGCATTGGTGGAAGTTGCACAGGTATTAGCAATATGTCAATACGGAATACAAATACTAATAAATGATCAGAATTTGAGTTGCCTTCTACTTCTCTAATTGTGCAGTATAATCCACCATTTACACTTCCATTCACGCGTCGGAATGAAATTTCTCTTGAAGTTGAAAGGAAACAGCCGTAGCTTCAGTCTGTGTATGAACTGTAGCAAGCTTAAGCCCCTTTGCTCATAGCAGTAATGTATTTCTTACTGTTACTAGTGCAGAACTGCTGACAGGTACATCTTGTAATATATGATAAAAATGCATGGTTTTGTAATATTAGATCAAATTAAGTATTCGTAGATCCAATTATGTATGGATCGAAACGAATATGTTTCAACGTTGTTAACTTTGTTGTAAATATAAGAAAATGCAACACTTCTTTTTTCATAGCTTACGTTTTACATCATCTCTGAAATAGTAAAATTTGCTCCTGGAGAGAGAAACAATGGAAATTAGGATGACTCATTACTAGAGAAAATAGAAATTGTGACCAGTGATATTTGCTGATAGTGTAAGCTATGATTTTTACCATGCTAATGGTTACCAGAGAGTATATGAGAATTTATTCTTATCTGAGGGTGTGATTCATGCAATAAAATGCTCTGGAATAAGTAAGATCACAGGAAGAACTTGCTTAGGAATGTGAAATATCTTCAACAAAGTATGTATTAGTCCAAAAGTTATTCCTTTGAAATATGCTAATNNAGTTATTCCTTTGAAATATGCTAATCTACTTTTTAGAAAATTCCCTATACAAGCGTAGTTATTATTCATATACTAGTCTGTTTCATAAGTATTTTCTGGTTAGGTGTAGTTTGGTATTTTGTGAAAAATAATTATATTCCAGAATACTTTCTTTGCGTCACGTTTTCTTAGTTTAGAGTCATTAGCACAAGTTAGCTAAGTACTTTATGAGCTTTAAATTAGAATTTGGAATTCTACAAGGTTTAGGACTTCTTGAAGTGTAATTAAACTCTCACAATGCTTCATATTTTATTGGAGATTGGGAAGTTTTACAGAAAATTTAGATCTTTTGAAATCTTTTTTGGATTCCACGATGCTATCAAACATTAGATGTGTTGAGAATTCCACCGTTACATCTCACAAACCTGAAATAAAAATTTCACATTAACCATCAATACAAAGTCTTAAGCTACGAATGAACTTGACTAGCCACTGGTTAGGTGAATATACTGCTAGAGACATCCCACAATATATGTTTACCTAAGTTGCATATAAAAGCACCAATGCTGAAGTACTTAAATATTTTTTAGCGTGATTACAGACTTACAATTTTACCAAAGTAAGGAACCATTTTCAGTTAAATCATAAATGACTACTAGTTTTTAAGTGTTTAACATTTTTGCAGTTGCTACACTCTTCAGTATTCACATCCCTTTTGGCAGGCCTCAATTGAGTAATAAAAAAGGAAAAAATAAATTGCCAGCTCAAAAATTAGAATTGGACTCATCACTGATTCACTGTTGACGGTCGCGAGGTTGGTCTATGAAACTAGCGGAAGTATCAGCAGAAGCACAGTAACGACTAGTCGATGGTCGACCTTGACTCGCGACTCGCAGACGACGCAGTTAAGATTGTTTTGAAATGTGAATAAATTGTGATCTGTGGAAGAGTGTAGGGAACGGAAGGGAAGGGAGGAACAAAACGGAAGGAGAGACCGGAGTCCGGAGACGGCGGCGATGCAGCGGTTGGAGTTGAAAGGGAAGGAGAGGATGATATGACTACGCGATTTGATTCCTTTAGTATTAAAAAAAAAAAAAAAACCTTTTAATTGGGCCAAAATTGAGGCCCCTCCGATTTTGGGTCAGATGGAAAAAAAATGGGCCAAAAGTTGAGGCCCCCTCCGATTTTGGGAGAAAGTTTTGTATGTAGAAAAGAAGTGGCTTCCAAGCAAGATTTGTTGGAGTGACTTTGGTTTACTTATAAGGGAAAAGGCCTAAAGAAAGCACTCAAGATTTTTGAATATTACAAGAAAAACTCAATTGCACTTTGGGGCCCACCTTGTTGATTTTTGTTCTTGTGCTCTGGATCGTGAATGGTGATCTCCTCATTGTTGTGATCATGATCCATTTGAAACTTTAAAAGTCCAAAAGTTTGCAAATGCAAATTATTGAAGTTATAGCTAACCTTTTTGTTGTGCTAGTTAATTATAGCTGTTAACATTGAAGTGAAATCGAATCATAGGTAACAATTATATTATTTTAACATGAGTCAACTGAAGATGAAGATAAAGATTTTTTGAAGTTTGTTGTCCCTCATAAATCTTATTTATGAAACTCTACGTGTCAAGCCTACGACAAGTGATGAGGCGTCTGGTGGATAAGACATAAATAAAGAGTTTTTTTTTTTTTCTAACAACTTAAAACTCTCAAATAAGTTAATTCAAGACTCTCGAGATCGGGCATCTTGTAGGAGTGCTTTTGACATATTAGTAGATAGGATTTGATGACACTTGATGGCATAAGAAAACGAAGTTAAAATTAAAACTGTGTAGAATATATTATCAAAGTCTAGTTTAATACTACGCGTCTAATATACACTAACGCACTAAAGGGTTAGAAATGTAAAAAAAATTAATGAAACACTTGTATCAAATTCCAAAACCATTTTATGAGAGTGATTATGATTATATTACTATGGTAAGTGGATGATTACCATATTCCATATTTAGAGGGAAATTTCAGTTAAGATTTAGTGAGGCCACTTCTAGTTAGTGGTTGATTTGCTGTGTATGATGGTTGACTCCACTTGTGCAACATCGACTATTTGTTGGACCCTCCGATGAATATATTATCAATGATCTATGTGTGTGATACTGTAATCAAGACGGCTAAATCAACATTTTACGTATGTTTATCACATTTCTTTTACCTATTCTGCTTAGGACAAATATGATATTTTGGTGGGGATTTCGTAGCATAGGGTAGGGTAGGGTAGGGTAGGGGTGGGGTAGGTTAGGTTAGGTCTATGGAGATATTGGTTGATTATATCTTGATCCCAATAGATCATAGCATCCAAAAGCACTAAAACAAATTTGATTCTAATATGTTCTTTTTAAAATAGAATTGTGGAGAGGTAAATTATAAAGCACTACTTTTGTTACAAAATTTCAAATTTAGTGTTGATTTAAAACGAAGATCTTACTTTACGTTATAGAATTCTTTGTATATCTGTTGATTGATTCATATGCTGCTATATTGAGTGCAGAGTTATCTATTAGTGATAAATTTTGTTTTTATCATTTTTGAAGAGATAACCCAAATATTCCCGAGGCATGATTGACAATTGATTTTATTACCAAAGTAAGGAACCATTTTCAGTTAAATCATAAATGACTACTAGTTTTTAAGTGTTAACATTTTCGCAGTTGCTACACTCTTCACATCCCTTTTGGCAGGCCTCAATTGTGTAATAAAAAAAGAAAAAAAAATTACCTGCTCAAAAATTAGAATCGGACTCATCACTGATTCACAGTTGACGGTTGCGACGGTTGGTCTATGAAACTGGCGGAAGTATCAGCAGAAGCACAGTAACGACTAGTTGACGGTCGACCATCACTCACGACTGGCAGACAGCACAGTTAGGGTTGTTTTGAAATGTGAATAAATTGTGATCTGTGGAAGAGTGTAGGGAAGGGAAGGGAGGAAAAAAAAGGAAGGAGAGACCGGAGTTCGGAGACAACGGCGTTGGAGTTGACAGGGAAGGAGAGGATGATATGAATACGCGATTTGATTCGTTTAGTATTTAAAAAAAAAAAACTTTAATTGGGTCAAAATTGAGACCCCCTCCAGTTTTTGGGCTAGACGGAAAAAAAATGGGCCAAAAATTGAGGCCCCCTCCAGTTTTGGGCATGAGGCACAGGCCTCATCCGCCTCGCCTCAGGGCCGGCCCTGGATGTGATGCCTAGAGTTCCTTATTCTTATTAGAGGAAATTACATCTAGACCTAGTTTTAACATTCAATTTTCATAAATNAGTTATTCCTTTGAAATATGCTAATATACTTTTTAGAAAATTCCCTATACAAGCGTAGTTGTTATTCATATACTAGTCTGTTTCATAAGTATTTTCTGGTTAGGTGTAGTTTGGTATTTTGTGAAAAATAATTATATTCCAGAATATTTTCTTTGCTTGAGGTCACGTTTTCTTAGTTTAGAGTCATTAGCACAAGTTAGCTAAGTACTTTATGAGCTTTAAATTAGAATTTGGAATTCTACAAGGTTTAGGACTTCTTGAAGTGTAATTAAACTCTCACAATGTTTCATATTTTATTGGAGATTGGGAAGTTTTACAGAAAATTTAGATCTTTTGAAACCTTTTTTGGATTCCACGATGCTATCAAACATTCGATGTGTTGAGAATTCCACCGTCACATCTCACAAGCCTGAAATAAAAATTTCACATTAACCATCAATACAAAGTCTTAAGCTACGAATGAACTTGACTAGCCACTGGTTAGGTGAATATACTGCTAGAGACATCCCACAATATATGTTTACCTAAGTTGCGTATAAAAGCACCAATGCTGAAGTACTTAAATATTTTTTAGCGTGATTACAGACTTACAATTTTACCAAAGTAAGGAACCATTTTCAGTTAAATCATAAATGACTACTAGTTTTAAGTGTTAACATTTTCGCAGTTGCTACACTCTTCACATCCCTTTTGGTAGGCCTCAATTGAGTAATAAAAAAAGAAAAAATAAATTACCTGCTCAAAAATTAGAATTGGACTCATCACTGATTCACTGTTGACGGTCGCGACGGTTGGTCTATGAAACTGGCGGAAGTATCAGCAGAAGCACAGTAATGACTAGTCGATGGTCGACCTTGACTCACGACTCCCAGACGGCGCAGTTAGGATTGTTTTGAAATGTGAAGAAATTGTGATTTGTGGAAGAGTGTAGGGAAGGGAAGGGAGGGAAAAAACGGAAGGAGAGACCGGAGTCCGGAGACGGTGGCGTTGCAGCGGTTGGAGTTGAAAGGGAAGGAGAGGATGATATGAATACGCGATTTGATTCCTATAGTATTTAATGAAAAAAAAAAATACTTTTAATTGGGCCAAAATTGAGGCCCCTTCGATTTTGGGCCAGATGGAAAAAAATGGGCCAAAAGTTGAGGC